TTAAAGAACTTAAATCTGTCCCCTTGGTATGCTCCGTAACCGCATAGGAGGACGCCAAATTTTTTTTGTCACCGGTTCAAAACTCGGTTATCTTAGAAGCTGGAGCTCTGAAAACATTGGAGGATGTTCCCCGTGCAAGTTGGTGTTAATGAACTTGAATCTGCCCCCTTGGTAGGCACCGTAACCGCGTACGAGAACGCCAAATTTTTTTGGCACAGATTCAAAACTCGGCAATCTTAGAAGCTAGAGCGCTGAAACCATAGGAGGATGTTCCCCGTCTAAATAGGTGTTAAAGAACTTAAATCTGTCCCTTTGGTATGCTCCGTAACCGCATAGGAGGACGCCAAATTTTTTTGTCACATGTTCAAAACTCGGTAGTCATGGAAGCTAGAGCGCTGAAATCATTGGAGAATGTTCCCCGCCTAAGTGGGTGTTAATGGACATAAATCTATCCCCTTGGTAGGCGCCGTAACCGCGTCCGAGGACACCAAATTTCTTTTGGCACAGGTTCAAAGCTCGGTTTTCTTAGAAGCTAGAGCGCTGAAATCATAGGAGGATGTTCCCCACCTTAGTGTGTGTGTTGTTGAACTTAAATCTTTCTCCTTTGTAGGCGCCGTAACCGCGTAGGAGGAAGCCAAATTTTTTTTGGCACAAGTTCAAAACTCGGTTTTCAAATACATTATTTTTGCATTTTGATTGCATCAGTGAATTTTTAATGGACGCTTGCTGTAGGAGCGATTTATTCAGCAGGATACTGTAGCATTCACACTTGGTATTGCCTCTGTTAGAGTTGTCGTGGTTCAGGTTCTCCACAATAGAACTTTCCTTTTATAATTGTAGTAGGCCGAGGCGTGCTCCTTGATTCTGTAGATGGACGAGCGGATTCCTTTCGGATGTGGCTGAACGGATGATATTAGTCGATTGAGCCCTTGATGAAGGTGTGATAGATCAACATTTTGTGACGGGTTTATAAAAACCCCGGAAACTCCCGGTTTCGGGGCACTGCTTAAATACTGATCAAAATGGTATATATCATCACATGTATGAGCAGGCAAAGAATTACATTTTCTTAAACCGTAAATATTTTCAGTTAAATTAGACAGCATAAAATTACAACATCCAAGATCTAATGAACGGAATCATGCACCTTCAAGTAAATTAGATAGCATGAAATCACAACATATTTAATCTTACAAACAAAATAATAATGTTCGAACAAATGATGCAATTAAAATTTTTGGGTTTTCCCTACATTTGACGCACTGGAATTTGATGTTTTAAATCAGAAATACGTCTCTGATTTGCTAACAGAAGTATTGCTACAAGTTTTTGCGATTAGCGGAATGTACCAGTGCACGCAGGAGAGAGTTAGGATATAGTTACGGGGTAGCTAAAGTTACAATCGGAAAGTAGCGGTAAGAAAAACTGGGGTGCCCAGCAAGCAAAAAGCGCTAAAGGTAGCTCCGGAGTATACAGCTGCCTCAAAAAAACACCGCCAAAGTCGAACATGTCACGCTTACGCACCTCGTCAGACCCCGTACCGATAGTCGATCAAAAAGTTGATGCAATCCTTCACCATTTACAGTCACCTTTGCCAAATTCTGTTCGCTACGTCGACTGAAATAGCAAAGTGATGAGGGTAGATATGTGGAGAAGACTCGGGAAATAGTAGAGCCTCACGGAGACATTTTGAAGAGATTCTCCTCACCAGGTGTATGTTGAGATTTACCTCATTTCGGACATCGGTATTTCTAGACCGCGGTGAGGTAACAATTATCGAAGAAGATGTGTCACCTCCACAGTGCATTCTTATCCTGTGCAAAAAACTTGAATTAGCTGCGTCAACCTGTTTTCTGCTCTGGAGCGAATGTTTTTATTATCATTTTCTGAACAAACTACAGTAAGAATGGGCAAACGCAAACATGCCACTTAATGGGCCGAAACATTCCAATTCTGGATTCCTTCTATTTTTCGTTACTGCTATTTATTACTTTTTACTGTAAGATTTTTTAGGTTAGTTACCACATTTGGGCTACTTAGACCAGCTATTATAAACTGTTATAATCTAATGCATGCAGCGAAGTGCTCCAAATAGTGCCATATGTTCTGAACACCCGAACAGTTTGGTCCTATGGAATTTTCAGTGACAAGCACTTCTTTAGCAAAGGTTTCCTTATTATAATATCACGGTTTCAGAGAAATGCGCCTTGACTGTGCAAAAAAAATCCGATGGGATGGGCAAGAGTTAAGCTCGGAATTTCGTGCCAAATTTTAGGGCTGTAGTGAGTTGAACAACACAGCGAATTATATAGATCAAGTTGGAGGTAGTAAAAGTCTGTAATTCCAAATCTTTATCAGTATATATTTTCGACAGGAGCGATAGTAACTTTGGAGGTTTTGTTACACTGATAACATCTAACAACGGATAAGTTAAGATCTGTGATATCGCGAAGTTGATAAGAAATATATGAAAATGATATCGTTCTAGGTCAGTTTATCATTTCACACCATTTTGATAAAATTCTACTCTGCTTTAACTGATTTCTCATTACTATGAGTAATTTGCGTGAAATGAGGTATTATCTAGTCTTCTGTCATGATAACTCGCTAATTTCCCTTACTAGTAAGTTATCGCGATAACTCGCTAATTTCCCCTGCCCCCTCCCACCGCTCTCCAGGAGCTTCATCTCCCTCCCCTCTCCCAGGAAGTCGTCCAGAATCCGCCTTTGGAAGGAAAGCATTCTTGTTTGTAACGCAGACGGTCGCTAAACTGTAAAGCAGCAACCGTTCATACTGCTAACGATCAGACTGTTTCAAGTTTAGCGCAAAAACGCATATCCGCACAGGCAAACTTTGTGCGTAACTCCCGGGGCTGTTTTTGATTTCAAAAGAACAACACATGACAGACTTAGTAATGCTTTTTTTATCAGCCTATATAAAAAAACAAAGGGACAGGCGTAATTTTCGTCGTGTCCCAGTGGGTTTCAGTTTTTCAACAAAGATACTGTTGTTGCAGTATGAATGCTGTTATTCGACAAACGTACGGAATAATCAGGATATTTTATAGATTCACCAGAATCCGGCGTATAATTTTCAGTTACATCGCATCCCTTTTTATTGTGGTTCTGCTCTGGATATTGGTAATCAGATTTTTCCGACTTTTTAAAGAAAGTTCAAAATAACTGTGGCTTTCAGTGCAACTTAGATGCATTTTTCTTTTCAGATTCTGCTGTAGATAAAAGTTGCAGCAAACAGTTTTTGTTTCTTCTCAGTTTTCAAAATACGGCTGAAAGTTGAAACACAGGCTGATATCACCAAATGCTTATTAAACATATGACTTGTAATTCTTATGCCTGCCATTCTAAACACTGCAAGTTTTCACCTTCATCAAACACAAAATAAAACTCTCCCGATACTTGCCCTCTTTTTTTCTACGTTTCTTTCACCCTCCAAAAAGTAGAGATATTCGGAAGTAGCTCCAGTGATAGCACTTGCCTATAGAAATCATCTGTTAAACAAGGCTGTCGACGGTATTTTGCTTAAATTAAAATTCATCAAAAACTGGGTGAAACAGCGTTACGCTTATACGAGGCTTCGTGCGAAACTTGTCAAGAGATTATAGAATTTTTAATATGTTGTTAAACTGCAATTCTCACTGCGATTCGTCAAATATGCATTCAGCATTTTTCCAACTGTTCTGGCCAATGCTGCATTGCCCAGTAGCTGGTCAGGAATGTGGTTTCTCAGGCGTTTTTCCATCTCATACCGTAATCATCTCGATTTCCATACCTTCTCCTGATGGCTTTTTTTCATGACGCGCTAAATTGTTATTAACGGCACATTCTGGTTATTTGCCGTCATTTTGCAAAATTATGACTTGCAAGTTATGCTGTGCCTAATTACTTACTTGATACTAAAAATAAAATTAGTTGAAAAAGTTGAAAGAATCAGTGTTTAGGTTGGCACAGCGCCTGCAACAACAACTGGTACGGTGTCCTTTCGATGTGACGACCATTATGAAGAGGTAAAAAAGCCTCAATTACATGAAAGATTACCAAGAAGAGTGACTTATATTA